TTTCAAAAAGTTTTTCTTATGTAATCCACTGTATTATTTCTTCGGAAAAAGTTGCTAACTTGTCTGAGAGAAATGTATAATACGGGTAAATCTCAAATAAAATTATACTTTAGTCATGAAATGTTCTTTTCGATATGTTCAAATCTATCGTACATGTCAAATTTGAAAGTTGAAATTAAAAAGAAAATTTATCTGCATAACTGAACCTTTAATATCTACGTCAAGATCCATACCCGTCTTGGTGTACACTTTGTCTGTCAAACCTATGCGATCGTTCTTTTTTTTTTATAATACTATATAACCCAATCCTGTGTACTCTTCAACTTAGCAGTTACACTAATTCATTCAGAATTAAATCCTATGTTTGGCAGTGCTAAAATGATTTGTTTCATACACCCAGTTACGAAATCCTCTATTCATCGATACTAACTAGAGTCCTGTAAGACAGTCACGAATCCTGAAAAATCCTGTTTGTCCTGTCTCGCAGTTGATGAGCAAAAATCTCATACAAATGGGTAGATATTTGCAGAAAATCGAAAATCGCAGCTAGATGATAGAACAAACGTTCATATTTGACATTTTTTTTCAACAAAAAAAATATTATTTAGAAAACAAATGCAACAGTTTTGTAAAGCAACAGCTTCTCTATCGAATGATTTTGTTGGATGTAATCCGCATCTACCCATTAGTTCTAAGAAAAAATAGATGCAATCAGATATTTTCACTGTATAAAAACATTTGAATTGAAGAATTTTTTTTCTAGTGTTGTAAGTTTGAGTATCTGTCCAACAGAAGAAACATTTCTTACTTCTTCAATTGACAACACATTACGCCTTTGGGATGTACGCATTCCAACAGCTCAAGTAAGATAAAAATAAGCTATTTTAAGGTTTCTCTTTTAAATTCTTATTTTAATTCAAAGGGTCTTCTCAATGCACAAACAGCAACAGGACCGAATAGTCGTCCAGTTGCTAATTTTGATCCTGAAGGTAATTGAACTGTTTATTCAACATTGGAGTTATTATTCTTTTTTTTTGTTATTGTTTAATATTTAGGTGTGGTGTTTGCTGTCGGTATTCAGTCATCTTTGATCAAACTTTACGATATTCGTCATTTTGATAAAGTATGCAAACTTACCGACAGGTAGTTAAAGTGAAGATTAAAATAATAATATTAAATGTTTTTTTTTTACTTTGCAGGGACCATTTACAACATTTCGACCATTAGAAACCACTGATAATAATGATAAACAAACAGCAAATGCAAATGATTCGAATGAACAATGGACACATTTAAAATTTAGTCCCGATGGAAAAATGATATCAATTGCAACGAACGGTACTAGTTTACATCTTATTGAAGCCTTTCAAGGTTTACCTATACATAAATTTACTGTAAAATTTATTCATATGATCAATTTATTTGTTACTGAAGATTTTTTTTCTCTAGGATTTTATTAATGATCGGCGAGAGCCATTACAATGTTGCTTCAGTCCAGATTCGAGCTATATTTTATGTGGTTAGTATTATTTTAAAATAAAATGATTTTTTAATAATGTAGAGTTTTTTGGAACTCAAATTATGTTTTTTGATAAGTTTAAGTTGAGATTTTGCGTTGTACTCAAGATGTCAACGATGATGGATAGTGATGCATTGGTTCTCTACAGTCGGCATATAATCAACTTAAAAAAACGTGAACTAATCAAGTTAGAACTTTGAGTAATAATTAATATTAGACTTTCTATGTTTATCGAGATATATAATAGGCATAGATGGCGGAACGCTTTAAACCTAGAACACGCTCAACAATGTGCATAAGTTTTCCATCGGGAAATTAAGAATAGGGAGAAGAAGCAGGATAAATCTTTTTCATGGCATACCATTTTTTGTGCTTTTTATTTTCGACTCACATTTCGCACTGTATAAAGCTGGTAGGATTCAAAAAAAATGCATAACTTGTGTCAAAATACGTGCACTTGAAGAAAGACTCACATACACCCTATTGCAAATGTCTCTTAGGTATCTGAGTTTAACCACTGAACGCAAAGAAAATTTTCGACAGCTTTAAACTCATCTAATATACGAAAACGTTTGTATAAGAATCTCGGTACACTGTATAAATCGATTTTCCTGGCGATCAATTATTATTGCAAAACAACTATGGTCTGTTTAAGATATATTTTACTTGATGTGTTTTGTATTAGTACAATGGCGGCAATGAACATATGTGACTTCCACATTTTAGCTGTAATGGAAATGTGCTAACAAAATTTCTTTTTTTTTTTTATAGGATCAGGTGATAATCGAATTTTGATTTATAAAGCTGAAAGTGGAGAAAAAGTTATTGAAAAACAAGTTTGTTATTAGTATTTATTGTTTCAATATATGCCATAGATTTGGATGTATTTTAGACAGAACATAATGGTGCTATACAATGCATTCAATTCAATCCTGCTTTTCTTATGTTCGCAACAGCGCATACTAATATGGTTTGTTCTATTATGAAAATTTGTGTGTTTTTGTTCTATTATATTTTATATTTTTTTTTAGCTATTCTGGTTACCAATTATTGATTCACAACCAACAGATGATTTGTCATCATAGTGGTTATCGAACTTATATATATATATAAAGAAATTCTTTTTGTTTTTGGTATTAATTTATCTCATATCATGTTCTGTCTTTTTTGTTTGCTCTTCAGTTGCAAACTTTTTTTTCTTGTGAAAATCTTCTATTACTTCCATTTGGTATATTTGTATTGATGATTATGTATTTCAAACATTTCATAGCATATCGGATTATGTTGTGGACTTTGAATTAGATATAGTAGAATTCTTTTCTTTTGTTTTTATCGTTGGTTTGAACGATTCACTGTTGTTTTTTTTCTAAAAAGAAAAACAAACTAACAATTTAAAATGAAAAAGAGTTGTACTGAAAAATAAAAAATAAAACAGATTTCATGATATGGTATTTCATTACAAAATAATTAATGAATGAATAAAATTATTTTAATTTAATTCAAAATCATTTAATAGATTTGTTGTCAAATGTTTAATCATGAATATTTCAATTCATGAAATACTCCGTTTGTAAATCAATTATTTGTTGTGAAATTTTACATGATGAAGTTGTACTAATAAAATAGCTACAGATTAGTAGATTTGATGTGTAACGCATTAACTCGGCCTCAATTTCGATAGAAATATATCTTATAAATAAATACCATGAACATTTCGTTCCAATAAAAAACCGGCATAAGATTATTAGTGGTGTAACCACCAAAAAAACAAATTTGTAGAGAAGTTCCAGTATTCTGGTCATGTCTGTATAAAAAGCAAATACTCTTTGGTAACGCTCCTAGAGGAGCTCAATTGCCTCTGGAAAGACCACAACCCTCTCTTTCTATGGTTTTAAGCGAAAAATACATCATATCAATTAGAACATAATTTAAGAGCGATCATCCAGATCAATGCTATTCATTGACTACATAAATAAAAAAAGAACAAGTATTGAAGAATTTCTTTTACATGTCATTTTCTTTAGATCAGTATCATAATCCGAAAAACTAAAATTATCAGAACCGAGACACATTTCGGCTACCTTGCAGTACAGAGTGCTGTCCTGAGACAGTTTCAAAAGCTCAATATTGTTCCTACAGCTATTACTAGCTGTAGCTGTGGACAGAAGGCTGGTCTGATTCAAAGTTCTTCAATCTAATCACTTGAGCTTTCTGCATATACTGACTAACTACATACAAGCCACAAGAGTCTATGTATGTTACAATCTAGTCAGTATGCTATCCTATAGGTGATGCAAGGTCATTCCATGTCCGATGGTACTGAGGCTTAAACACAGTACATTAGTAGTACGGGACAAAAAAAACTGAACCATTCAGCGATAGCGACTTGTAGATTCACGTATTCGTAATCAGAGGACTTATTATTTATCATCGATATAAACAAACCAGATAAAAGATTAACCTAAAATCATTTTATCTGCCGTTCATAAACGCACCACTCCATATTGTTCCTTACAATTGAATACAAAAATTTGTTGTTGTCCAGTAAAGAATTGTGTATTCCTTTATATAACAAATACTACCATATATTGAGTTGAATGTCAATCATCTCTGGTTATTTTTTACTTACAATTACTAGTAACATATACTTCAAATACAAAAAAAAGAAAAAAAATTAGTACCATCACATATTTTAAGAGTTGTCTGTTATTATTAATACGAAAGACTAAGAAATGTAGAGCATAGAAAGCCGAAAGATAATTTGATTGAAATTAATAATCTGAGAAAAGCTGTATGTGAGACAAAATAGTTTGAATTTTGTTCTTATCTTTTAATTAATATTTCTGAATCAAAGACAATGATAACTCTTGATCAACAAAAAGTCATTTAGTACCAATTACTAAACATTTTGAAAAATTTTCTCCAAAACTATAAAGTAAATGCATTCGAAACGTTGAAATAACAATTTAATAACTTATTTTTTTATGACACCAACATATAGTTTATTAAAAATATATACCCATTCACAACACAACAAAGAGAAAAACAAGAACTTTAATTTTTCAGCATAAGTTTATCGAGGTAACGGTACAATGGTTGTTTGCGATTTATTTAAAATAGTTTTCATAAAATTTGATAGACAAGTCAATGAAATAAATGGCAATAAAGAGGGTACCATGTGAAGTAGAAAAAAGAAATAATCTACTTGTATACTTTGTAATATTGCTGAAGGTGCAAAAGTTATTATGAGTCCATTGAATGTCAATGGAAACCAAAATACTGTGTATATGACTGCGATAAAGATAAGTTGTCTAGCTAATTTATATTGTCGACGCCATACTGCTTGATGACGTCGTTTTTGCCATACTATTCGAAATATTAAACTTATATTAGCTGTAGCAATAGCACAAATAGGAAACACAACATCCGCTATAAAATCGTAAGTTGTTAGAATTTTTTGATCCATCAAATAACATGGTATTTCACAAAAAACCTTAAAAATAAGAAAAATTTCGAAGAATCGTAAAAATCTTAGCTTAGATTTCGCTAGAGATGAGAAAAAAAATCATCTTCATATTTACCTTATTATAATTCCATCGGTTTTTGCATGTATTCAATATGATAATAGCAAAATAAAATATTACAGGATAAATACAAGCTGATGTCATAGGTAATACATGAAACAAGAATCGTTTTCGTTTTGTATCCATCATTGTTCGATTAAAAACAAGTAAATGTCGTTCAATTGAACCCCAAGCCATCACGAATAATAATATACCATTATTTGAATATTCCCACCAATTCCACCATGAACAAAAACTATTTGATGATAGAATAACTCTACCACGTTGATGATAAGCCATAATAAAAGGAAAATTTGTTGTCAATTGTAAAAAACTTCCTATGATCAATATTAGAGTTAGATGATGATAAATTAAAATATTTCGCCGTTTTCGATAAAAATAAATAAATATTAGAATCGAACAAATTATAGATGGAATTGATAAGATCAGTAAGATCCAAAATTTTACTTGTTCAAGCCATAACATCTTAGTATATTAACTATACACTTTATATGTAAGAAGAAACACAACAAGTGAACTATCTTGTGTATGAAACGCTGAAAAATGACTATGAAAAGTAAAAAAAAAAAAAGGATGGTTAGTAATCTATTAGTATTTCTTGATCTCGATAATTGATAGACTTCTTTTGATGCTTCGTTCACGTCTGCGTTAATTTATTTTGACAAAAATAAATAAATAAGTCAATTCTTCTATAAATGACATACAGGCTACTCTTCTCAAAACTCATCGCTTTATGGCAGTTTAACTCCTCCTTCTTCTCTAACTTCCACTAAAATCGATCTTAGTTCAGATATATTCAAATGATATGAAATTTTTAGGATATGTTAGAACTATATTCGAGAGACTATGGTGAAATTTTCAGCCTCATATCATGACGTTTTTGGCAGACATCCACCAAACAAGGATTACAAAAGAGCTTATTTAGTGATCGAAGATTCTCTATGGACTTTTATTTTGCCAATCTAATTTTTTTTGTTTGAAAGAGCATATGAGTATACATGGCATGGTAGAGTGATTTTTGCTTTCATTCTTATTGCTTAAGTGGAAGAAACGGATGAACAGCAAGATATCTCGAAAAACTGTCAAAAAAATATGGTATAACTGTTATAAACGTACCTGTTGAATGGGTAGCTCATAAAGAATGAGAGTCTGTGTATTTTCTTAATATCTTCTCTACAGTTGTTATAGATTCGAACTAAACTTCTTTTTTTAAAGATTCAACATTTAATTCTCTACAAAAGCATATACCAATGGATGTCGTAGGGATAAAATAAAAAATACTATTGTAGTTGTAATTATTTTACTTATACGATATCCATTTGTTAATAGTCTTGTAGACAAAACAAATGATGAGATCTTTGAGAAAAAGTTCAGCTTGAATCTATAAAAAAAAAAGAGAGAATATTGAGAAAATACGGAGACATTCATTATATCATAAAGCGATTATTATTATTCTCTACATCTTGACTTTTTCTTTCAAACAGAAAGAAAGCGCAATTGACTACAGTGAAACTTATGTGAATACAGAAAAAAGAAAAAAGATTTCCTATTTTTCTTTTTTCTGAAAGCAGTATATTTTTCAATCACGTCATGACAGAAATCATTAAAGATTTTTGCGAACAAATGAGGTGCTAGATAAAAAAAAAATCATCTCCCCTATGAACGAGTAGGTCTTGAACTGCCCTCCTCTGTATTTATCTTAATTTCAATAATTCTAACGAGAATTGACTTTTTATTGTGAGGGGACGACTTAAAAATATATTTCTCCTATCTCTTTCGTAGTTTAGATTTTGTAATAGTAAGTGTTGATATCTCATTCTAGCTATAGCGAATTACTTGACAAAATTCGTTGAATAGTTTGGTCAGTTTTGTGAAATATTATCGAAACGAAAACATATACGGTGCAATTCAAGGAGAGGCGATGGCAAAATGTTCAGTCCTATATCATCACGTTTTCGGACAACATTGAATAAACAAGGGTCAAAAAATAACTCCTTTTGGCGACTGAAAATTCTCTGTGAGTCTTCAGTCTAAATACAGAATGAAGATCTTCAAAAGCTTCATCGTATTACTATGTTCAAGAATTGTTCGTAGTATTATTACAATAACCTTTTTACTTTTATCTCTGTCACGTTCGTTTGTATTTGGTTTTCTAGAGAATCAAATACTGAGCCTTTTGAAAAAAATTTAGTTCGAATCTATAAAAGCTAGAGAAGATATTGAGAATACACGAAGATCCTTATTCTTTATGAGCCGTTCGTTTAATACTTAATCTATTTTTGTTTGAAGGAACATGTCAAAATCCTTTCTTTTTAAATTGTAACTTTTTAAGCATGGAAAATGAATGAAAAATACAAATTCTCGAAAAAATCTCTAAAAAAACATGACGTTCTCATTATAAAATTACTTTTTTACATCAATGTAATAGAGTTCAATTTAGAAAAGGAATTTTAACATGTTCTACATCTTGGCATGCTCTTTCAAAGAATGAGAAAGAGCAATTGACTGCAATGAAGCTCGTTAGAGAATTTTCAGATGCGCAATGAAACACACGATAAACAAAGAAAAAGCGAAAAAACTGTCGTACTTTTTCTGAAAGAAACAAATACACTTTTCAAGCAGAAAATAACGTAAATTATCAAAAAATTTTGCTGCAAAATGATAACCAAATTCAAAAATCATGTTATTTCTGAAAGAAGAGAACTCAGACGTTCTTTTTATGGATTTATTGTAATTTTCATTGTTGTTTTTGACGGATATTGCCTTTTTTCGCCTTAAGGTTTTTTTTTCACTATGTATCTCGTCACTTATCTTTCTCAAACAAAAAATATTTGACGATCTTCAAATAGTCATTTCCATGGACCATAGAATCTTATTGTATATTGTTGTCTTCATTACGATATTTTTTCTTATTTTTTGTTTGCCATGTCATTCACAATTCAAGTATCTAATAATCTAGAAGTTTAATTATTTAGACAATTACCTTTTGCTATGTTAGTCTTCTATATTTAGTGAATTACAAATGTAAATTTAATGTTATTCATAAGTTTATTTATATTTCGTTTTTGGTCTTGACAAAATACTTGTCGAGGTAGAATTAAAAAAACAATGATGATAGGCAATCTTAACTTCTTGTTCGAATAAGATGAATATATATTTTAGTCTCATATAAACAAAGAGTCATATACATATGAAACAATGTGTTCTTTACAAACAATAAAAAGTGGAATAAAGTCTTCGACACATTCAAGGATTTGGGATCTTCTGTTCTGTCGTATTGTTCATAAGTTACCAGAAAGAGTTTTTTTTATTAAGTCTTTCAAAATAGCCATAGTTTTTTGTAGTCTCTTCAATGATTTTTAGTTTCAATTCACTTGTTGCCCAATACATCATGAGTAAACGAGTTCATTTCACTTATCCCAAACGCGTAGAATGAGAAATAAACAGATAATATGGGTTACTCATAATTTATTCCTTGTTTATTTAACAGACGAAAACTATGCAAAAGAAGAAAACGAAATAATGATATTGACTTGCTTCTCGAACGATGGCTCAAACAATTCTCTAATAAATAAATTAGTAAACTGTATTTAGCAATTCAATGGGACGAATCTGTTAAGACTATCTATGTCAAATAAGAGGTTCTCTTTTCATATTAACTAAATTTTTTCTCTTATAATTGTATTATTTTTTAATATTATGATGAAAATTTTCTTTCAAACTTAATGAAACTACATTATTGATGCATATACATAAATATTAAGCATCAATTTAATCGGGAGATAAATCTAATATGGAAACGACTTTGGAAATCATTAAGGAAGGACGAGTCTATGGAGGATGAATTAGGAGTGTGCCAATAATTTCCCCTAAAAAAAGAAAGATAATCGTTGATAACAAGAACGTTCTTAGAACAGTAAAGTCAACATGCCCTAGCATCTTGGTGTCATGTCATCTAGCACTCTTTTTCTTAAAGAATAAGATCTGCTATTGGCAACATTTAACCTATCCACTAGCTAAATAATTGAAAAAAAAAGAAAAACAATTGTTTTTTGTTTATGTTAAGGTCTGAATAGTTGAGATGGAATTTTCTCACAGTGAAATGTAGCATTAGTATAGTTATTAATTTCAAGCTAACTTCAATGACTATGGTTGTCTGTGAAGAAACAGTTGATAGATAAATCAGTAGTTGAGTACACATTCAGTGTTTTGAAAAATGTCTTTAGATCTTTTTTTAGAAAAGAATCATATTGTCAGACTCAGAAGGACTACTTCATAGAATAAACCTCGACATTTATACATACAGATATATTTCTTTTCAATTATGAATATGCTATTTTCTGATAAAATATGTTCCTATTTTCGTAAGATCTCATCATGCTTGACTCGTGCCAATGTGTGCATTGTATCAATTAGAGTCTATGAAAATGGGAATGGTTTGTTTTCGTATAAAGAATCTCAAGAGTTTATTTTTCAATAAACTATTGTTTCAAGATTTTTCTAACTCAGAATTGATGCATTGCTATGATGATGAAAGCAAAATATTGCCTATATTGAACTTAGACATTATTATGGGCATGGATACTAAAAAAAATTGATTTTCCGAGAAGAAAATCATCTAATGTGTCGAAAGCTTTAGTCAGTAATAGAATTATTATGAGTATATGACTGAAAAATCATAAAAAGAAAAAACAAATTCTCAATATTATGGAAGAATAAGTCGTAATTGTTCTTCTTAATTTCTATACAACTTAAATATAAAAAACAAAACAGTAAATCTCTACTAATTATTTTCTCTCTCTTCATTTTTCAACTAACATATCAATACAAAATCACTTTTGCCTCTAAGGAATATTTTCAATAATTACAACTTCAAATAATAAGAATAAGAATAAGTTGTTAAATTCTTTACCAATTAAATACGTTTATTTTACTAAAATAGTAATTTGATCATGTTCGCATATTTGTACAGTCGTGCACGTATAAGATCAAACAAAAATTTTCTAAGAAATCTCTAGTGTCTTGAAAAGTTCGTCATCAATGTACGATCTGATAAGATATATAGACACACGCGTCGGCACAGAAAAAAATTAAACAATCCGATGAGCAACATTCCGCCGCTACCGATTTGTATCAACATAAAACAAAGATGAGCTCAAATGAATTTTTCTTTTCTTAACAAGATTTCTATCTCTTTTGTTATGCTGGTGTTAGTTTGATGATGATGATGATGAACAGAAAGAAACAAAGCTCATTCGTATATGCTTCGTTCTTCTTTT